TATGTTTTTGTGTGATTGAGTGAAACGATGTCAATACAATGTTTGTCATCATGTCTCCTGAGGAAATCGGCAATATATGCAATGTACCAAACTTTGAGTCTCATTTTTCCACATACAATTGTCAAGGATGAGCACAAATACCATCTCATTGCATGCCATTAAATTTATATTGTCTTTATTAACATCATGAAATTTGGAAGTCAAGCGTAAGCAATATGGATTGCAGCTTCTATGTCTGGCCCTACCAATAAAACTGCAATAAATAGGCTATCATGTATCACATCACATGTACCCAAATAATGCTCACATAGACATTCTACGTCTGAGTATTTTACATTTGTTGGTGGTAATCTTTTTACTTGGAAAAGTAATAAACAAAAAGTGGTGTCTAGGTTTAGTGCCGAGGCCGAGTACCGTGGGATGGCTCAAGGTGTGTGCGAGTTACTATGATTGAGAAGATTGTTGAAAGATCTTGGGTTTGGACCCCAGAAACCTATGGATTTGTATTGTAATAATAAAGCTGCAATTGCAATTGCGCATAACGTTCTGTGGAGATTGTTCGACATTTTGTTAAAGTTGGATGCTGAAAGTATTTCTTTTCCGTTTATATTATCTGAGTATCAACTGACATATGTTCTAAAGAAAGCTGTGTCTACTACGGTATTTCTCAACTCGCTTGACAAGTTGGGCATGCATGACATCTTTGCTGTATTTATTTTGTTTTCTACATATATTGTATAATTAGAATTTTATCTTGTTTTCTACTTTGATCATACTAGAGTTACATCCTTGTATTATAAATACCTCCTTTTGGAGAATGAAATACAATTTGAAAATATTCTACCCAGATTGTTTGACTAAATAGCCAAATATATAGAGGCTTAATCAGGGACGGACCCACAGTGGGGTCAATGGGGTCAAACAACTCTATGGACTCCATGAAAGCAAGGTAGAAGGTCCCTTTGAATGGGTGTGTGAACCCATGAATGGCTGAAGGAGGAGGCTGCAGATCTGAGGAAGAAGAAGTTGAACAGGGGTTCTGTTTTTTTTATTTATAAAAGAAGCTAACCAAAACGGCGTCGTTTTGGCCCAGCTTCTAATTTTTTTAAAAAAAACTGGCTGGCCAAAATGGCGTCATTTTAAACCAGCTCAGCGAAATTTTTTAAAATACGCGTTGGCCAAAACGCCTTTGTTTTGGACCAGCAGCAACAAATTTTTTTTTAAAAGAGATGGTCAAAACGTCGTCGTTTTGGTCCAGGTCTTTAAAAAAATTAAATAAAACAGATTGTAATGTTGAAACAGACCCTCCTCTTCGACCAAAAAGAAACAGACCCTCAGAACTCCATAACCCCCATTTCCTAAACCCTCAAACCTAAATCTCCAATCTCCACCCCCCAACAAACCTTTACACTATGACTCTACGAGATAAGATTCCTGAGTCCGTTCCTAGGCTTAATCCTTTCCCAACTCGGAAAGGAAAATATAAAGTTAGTCGGATTTCTTATTAGGTGAGTAAGTTTTGCCAAGGATAATTGTTGTGAATTGGTTCATCCGTCGTTTCTAAATTCTAAAAGGTTTTGCCCATCCAAATTCTGTCCATATGAAATGAGGAGTGAGGCAAAAACCGGGATCACATGCACATATTCCCAAGGGCGATTTGGGCCTGGACATATTCCCAAGGGCGATCACAGGCACAGATAAAACAAAAGCTTTTTGTAAGCAATTATCATATCGCACATGATTTTCTTTTTTTCTTGTTGAGAAAATCACTTTAATTTTAGATATGTGTCTTTTTATTTTCTTTTTCTTTCCAAATATGTGATATCAATGAATGAAAACAACTTTTTTTTTACGTGACTGTCATGAGTCATGACCTCAATAGCTGGTTGCAACTTTCATGTTATCTTTCTCAGTTAGAAACTCTCATGATGGATATTCAATTTGTGGTCAGTATTTATAGTTATAATATTTTTTTTTCCTTGTAGGTAATCAGTGGGGTCTTAGTCAATTTATCTTCTTTGATGAAGGCATCTCCTTACTTGCAGAGACTTGTATTGAAGGTATGTTTTTGCTTGATTCGTAGATTAATGCATAGGATGGTCGCGTAAGCGTGCAACTTTATTTGCCTTGGAGTTTATACAAATTTCCTGCAAACAATATACAAATGAAGAGGTCTTTTACTAGTTCCACTCAATTAATTTTGTCACTCCCACCAGTAATGGACATGAGAATACAAATTCTATATGATCGATCACATAATTTATCAGCAACCAATCCAGAAGATTGTCAGTTTTGATTAGATTCCAGCCCATGAGGTTCCATAATAATCCATATATTCAGAAGTATTTGAAACATGTTCCGGGTAGAAACAAAATAATAACAAAATAAACGTAAGAAAGGAGCAACCTTATACTCCTGGACCATTAATTCAAGTCTCTGAAGTCAGTCAATGCAACTTATAGTGCTTAGAGTTTTTCTTTCTTATTTGTATTACTAATAATCATGGCTTGCTTGACTATGTAATCATGGCTTGCATACATTTTCTCATTCGAGTATTGAACTTGAAAATTGCTTTTTTGTATTGCCAAAAACTCCACAATTAATGCATCCTCACCCAACAAATAACACGTAAAACCCTATGGTCATGTTTGGTGCTTAAAATTGGATTGAAATTGATAACTCACAAGATTCAAGTTATGTTGAAGTCAGAATGGAGGTAGAATTGAAGGATTTTTCATTGTGTGGGCATTATAAAAGGGATTAGTTATAAGGTGTATATTGTTGAAGAATATAAGTGCCACATTGGAACACCACATGTTGGGTAAGGGTAAACATTCAGCCCAAAACCAATTGGCAATGGGGATAGTAGCCCAACTCCTTATATGCCCTTGCTAGGTTTCCAAACTTTCCAATGTGGGACTTTTTACCTTCATATTCTCATACACTCCCGCACGTGTGGCGAATTTTCAAGCCTTGCATGTGGACAAGACATATTGAGTGACGTGAAGCACATGTGGCCGTTGGGCTTTCACACGTGGGCTAACCCGCTCTGATACCATGAAGGAAGTTAAGGTTCCACCCCAAAACCAATTGGCTATGGGAGAAGTAGCTCAACTCCTTATAAGCCCTTGCTAGGTTTCTCAATAACTTTCCAATGTGGACTTTCCAATGTGAGACTTTTTACCTTTACATTCTCACATATATGTGGGGATTATCATTGGCCCAGTACCTTCAATTTGTATAAGATTTGAAAGTTTGCCTCAATTTCTTCCTTCAACATATACATCTTAAATCTAGTGAGCTATCCAATCCAATCCAATCCAATCATAAACCCCATATTTGCCCTCCATATACTCTTATACTATATGAGGGAACAAATCAAAAACTGTACATCTATATGCAGAGAGTATATCGTGTTCTATGAAATTGTTTTCACATATAGAAACGTTTGTCTAAATTAAAAGCTTCAATTTTGCATAGTCTACATGCACATTAGTGATGGAGAGTGGAGCCTACAAGTTGAGACATGGTTAGAAGACCATAGACTTCATGAACACAGATACAGTTGAGTCTCCACCACTTGTTTTTGTGGAAGAAAAGTTCAATAGGGTCTGTTTCGAGCAGTACCGTGCTAACTAATGCAACGTTTTCTACAAGCTGTACCAAATTTCGTAATTTCTTGGTAAAGAGGGAACCTCAGAACTTGGAAAAG